TGACAGAAAGTGACATCAGATATTTGATTACTTCAAAAGAATGATAAAGATGTCTATAAAACGCAGGTGTCCCTACTGTTGAAAACTTGAAATTTCACGTCGATAATTTTCACATTTCGAAATAATGTAATATCTTCTCAATATTGATTCGTCCTTCCTTCTGTCACAGAAAAAAATAGTGTATTATACACGGGAAAAATGTTAGATTTTAGCTCACGGTTTTTTGTCTCCCTCCGCTACGCGTCGGGAGACAACACAACCTGGAGCTAAAATCTACTACTTTTTTCCCTTGTATAATAAATAACTATTATTTTATAAGGATGCTTGCCAAAAATTCGACGGATGACGTCACAATGTGTCCATGATGATTGCAGACAAAAAGGTTCCTACATGATCCGCCATTTTGAAAACAAATGTCATTTGAAAGGTATTTTTTCGCTCTATCGACTTACGTAAAATTATTCATACAGAGTGCCATTTGAATTTCAGTAAAATTTTGGGGCAAACCGTCTGTACTTGTACAGTGTGCAACATATGGACATTTTTTTGATGAATTGCACAACCAAAATACAGATAGTGCCAAAGGTTGATGCATGTTCGGTAATTATTTAAGGTGCACTTAGAATCGTTGCAAGTCAAACAGCATACAGGGTAGGTCAAAAAATATAAAAAATGCTCAGGAGTAAAGTACCCTTATTTCAGAAAATTCAGCAAACTGTTATGGAAAAAAGTTCTTTACAATTGAAAGTTTTTCGTGAATACCAAAACATGGCCTCCTAAGACATATTTCAGTGTTTCAATTTGTTCCATTAATAACTTCCCAATTTGTATTTGTTTTTATATTCACCCTAGACACTTTCATAATTTGATCATAACAAAATCAGTTGATCATACTTTTGTTCAAATTGATGCACTTTTGTGCAATCAACTTGGATTTCATTTTTTTAGGGAATCACAAACTTGATTTGTTGCAACGAAATACAGCTTAATTTTGAGATTTCGCAAACCATATTTTCAACAAGGTAAAACATCATTAGATAAGGAGTACGTCACCAAACTGCCTCAATATTTACTGTCAACCCTCATTTGTTCTGTTCCTTGGGTGTTCGTGATTTTTCAAAAGATATCATGGTTGTCGATCAATTTGTTCAGCTTTTTCATAAACATTTCAAATACAAAATGTTCACATTAAATGAAGGTTTTTGAATATGCATATTATCATTAATGATGTTTTACCTTGTTGAAAATAGGGTTCGCAAAATTTCAAAGTTGAGCTGAATATCGTTGCAATAAACATGAAGTTTGTGATTTCCTAAAAAAATTTAAATCCAAGTTGAATGCAAAAATATGCTTGAATTTGAAGAAAAAATGGGAATTTATTAACGAAAGGAATTGAAGAACTGAAGAATGTCTTGGGAAGCCATGTTTTGGTATTTAGGTATGAATTTTAATTGTGAACAACTTTTCTCAATAACATTCTGCTGAATTTTTTGAAATACGGGTACTTTACTCCTGAGCACTTTTTATATCTTTTTACCTACCCTGTATGCTGTTTGACTTGCAACTATTCTGAGTGCACCTGAAATGATGATCGAACATGCACCAACTCTTGGCACTATCTGTATTTTGGTTGTGCAATTCATTAAGAAGATTCCCATATGTTGCACACTTAAATGACCACACTGTATATTGAAATTATGCTCATATTATTATTTTGTAGAAGCGAGGAGGGAAAATCCCAAATAATCGAACGATTAAACGAACTTACCTAAGTGAAGTTCAATCGTGATTATATGAAGCGTCCAGCCTGAAGATATCACATTCTGTAGTACGCCCTGTCGATACTGTTACGCACAATATTTAAAGATTCTCGCTCTCCCTTTCTCCTGTTCTCTATCTCTAGGATACCGTTACTTCCATTTCTCATTGTTTTAAAGTTCAGTCATCGTAACCTATGTATGGGGTATTTATATTTGCTCAGGGGATGGTGGGAGGTGATATCTTCAGGCTGGACGCTTCATATAATCACGATTGAACTTCACTTAGGTAAGTTCGTTTAATCGTTCGATTATATTTCACGTCCAGCCTTCGATATCACATTCTGTAGTTGTTTAAAGACAGGTTACGATGAGTAGGTACTGCCATGTACATACTGCTTCCTCATTTTAGAAAGATTCCTACCATTTTATTGATCAAATGTTATTCAACATATAACATAGTCGAAGAAAAACAAACAACATCAATTCTGTCGACTGAAAAAAATTGGACCACTTTAGGAAGGATGTATGGTTTCCATGATATATATAACATAGTGTCTACCATACCAAAGCAGGTGATATTCTATCAAAGGAAACGAGTGCTCATGGATACATGTTACAATATTCACCTTTGAAACATATCAATTTGGTTCAATGAATAAACTGAAAATAATTCGTTAGATTCTTCACCTTCTGAGTATGAAACTGAATGAATGCTGAAGTTCCTTCCATAGACTTTTGGCTAGTGGTTCTATAACAATTATCGTTGCAACTTATCAACGTTTGGGAATTAGAAGACCATCCAGCCGTTCGCTGAATGATGTCCAGGCTAACGCCTGTTTTTTTTTTTTTTTTGTCTTATCTTAGTTTGCTAGGGAAGTCGGCCCATGTCTCGTCAAATGAGGAATTTCTACATGTCTATGCCTGACAATGTTCACCTACCCATCTATCTACCCGAAGTCTGCGTAGATACAATCTTGTGACGTTTTTTATGGTTGATAAAGAGACATTCCCTATAGGATCACTTCGAATAGCCCTTGTTTCTTCCTGGTAATTTTTCACCACTACTGCAGCGTATAATTTCTGGTTTTCCTTGAAAAATGGTATCCTCAAGTGAAGTGGATTTCTTCGATAGCCGTGGTTTTCACTCTGTCAGGTATACAGATTCGCAACTCCTTCGGAGACTAATTCATTATTATCAGTGAGGGTGTTTGCATTATTTGACCTGATGTGGTCAGAAAAAGCAGAGTGATTAGTTTGATAGAAAATGATTTCTAGCCTGATGTTCTCACTTGTTCTAAAAGTACTCCAGAACATCCGATGAAGTCGTGTATCTTGGTGAATATTGTCTGAGCTTAGCTACAATTCTCAAGAATATTCCACTTCTTTCATCTTCTTCGATAGGCAAAATAATGAAAGGACTAATCGGTGGGCGCTGAAGGTTAAAAATTTCCGGTTTCCTTGAACAACCAATTCTTGAAGAAACTTCATACAATCATGTGCCTTACCTTCGAACGGCAGTAACTTCTTTTTTATTTTATTTTTTTTAAGCAAAATTGAGCAAAATTGCAACCAGAGTTGATACCTAGAAATATATTGGCTTATCGTAGATTCTGACAAGGAGCAAAGCGCAGTATTTATGGCGCTTGGTGGAAAGTTTTTTAGTAGTAATGCTTGCCTGATGGTCTGTCATTCTCCAGGATATGCTTGAAAGTGAATGAATGCATTGTGTCGTGAGGAGAAGATAACAATTCACGTTTCGGTCTGAATATTACCGGCGCCATCCGACGTCAATTTCAGCAACAAGGGATACCATGGTTGAGTCGGCGGTACTACTAATATCCCCTCCGCCTTGTCTTGTATGATATCCTTGATTATATACACTCAAAATACTCAATGATGATATTCTGAACAGTTCTTAGGATCACAAAAAAGAGGAAATGCATGAAACATCATATCACTCCTAGGGAGTGTGATAGCATTAACTGCCACTTCTTCAGAATATCTATGCCATGATACACACTTTGTGCATTTGAAGTTGTTTTTCGTCGTGAATTAATCTGATAGCTACCGCTGTTTTTTTTTTTTATGCGTATGAAGCTGAATATCACTCCGTTTTGGGTGGAAGTTCGCGAGATTCCTGGTCAGCCTGCCAATTATTATCCTTGGAATCTATGTATGAGCTTTGGTGTTATCTGTTCTAATTGAAATATTGCAATTTCTATGTGAATGGCGAAACATCTAATACCGTGAAATATTGCAAGCAGGTGTCCACTATCCATGGGTTCGTCCCCCATTCGAGTGAACCCCTCCAACCGGTCAGTGAAACATCTGTGAATATTTCGAGATCAAAATATCATCTATTGAAGTTGCTTTATACTATACAAATGTTATCTAGCCAACAGTTAAGATCAGATCATAAGAGTGGCCGTAGGCGCATATGAGCAACATAATCGTTGGTGATGAGCAAGAGAGCCAAATATTTTTCTCTCTCTAGAGTTTTATAGGAGTACAGCCAGTCACCATTAAACCAACACATTGTGCGAATTCTCGAAACTCGCATGATTTTCTTGATTTGTTTTCTTTTTGCTCATCTAGAAGCGTGATTTGTATTGAGTTGCTATTGAAAACAAATCCATATAATTTGCCCTATTTATTGGCTCTTATAGAATACTGTTCTGTTGATTCAAGATGAAGCCAAGCTTTATTTGCAATTATTCAAATGTTACCATAACAATGGCTCTGCTGTGGTTGTAGTTTTTGCCAAAAATAATGGAATCATCTTGGTAGTTCAGCATCATATTATATACCTTTTCTCCTGATATTTTTAATAACTGGTTTCATTAATTTTGAAAGGGTATATGGAGCTGATGATAATCCAAGCGGAAGACATGCAAATTCATATAGATTTGATTATCAAGAGGAAATCGCAAATATTTTCTCTGACTTGTGTATTGTAATCAAGTGATTCGCGTCCTCTAAATCTATAAATGCCAAGTAACAATTTTATGAAATTGATTTCGAAACCGTTTGAATGTTTTCCATCTTGAAATTGGGTGCGTCAATGAGTCATTGAGAGGCTTCGAGTTCAAAATGAAACGTTTCTTCCCATTTGACTTGTCGGCTAGAAAGATTCTAGATGAGAACAGATTTTTTGATTTTTCTATGCCTTTGACCACTGCACCTTGCGAGAGTAACAATTTTATTGTTTCCTCATAAATCTAGTATCACTCAGTGAGAAGGATGTGGTAAGCGACTTCGTTTGAGAAGGCAATTTGATGAAGGGTAAACTGTAACCATTCACCCAAGACAGTTTGATTCGAGGTAAAATTCAACCATTCATCAAAGAATCGTTTGAGCCGGCCGGCTGAACTATTATGACTTACCGATACCATTGAGTATTCGCACTTCAAGGCCGATACTATCATGTTTTATTCGTATAATTCCTGTCTTGTCGTGAGGTTTGCTCTTCAATTTGGTTCAACTCCCTCCATGTGTCCATGTGTTTGTTTGTGGACGGCGAACCGGGCGAAATCTGTAGAAGAGTTTTGTTTAAGCATCTTATGACGCCCTCCCCCATTTTTATCGCAAATGTTCTTCATTGCCCTACAAGGTGTTGAAAATCTAGAATTCATCACCTTAAAATTCTAGCTGTTTGGCTATTTTAACCTTTTCTTCCAAATCAGCTGCGAATAAGAATTCAGGAATGGGTTGTTTTCTCTGCCATTTCCCTGGCTTTTATGTTGAGATCATAGGTTACCAGTTCATGCCTCACTTTTGTAATATTGAAAAATAAATTCGTGAGAATACGGCCTGGCCTGCATCGCATAATTGGTATAATAAGGTTTCTCTTATGTTTTAGGCATTATTTTCCAGGATCACATTTAGACCCCTACCTATTTCAGCTAGATCTGAACTCAACTGATTCTGATGATCAGCATGAAAGTTATTTTTCGTGTGGTTTGGTTTAGATAATATATAGCATTGATATAATCCCCTACATTCATTGGTGGGGGATACAAGGCTGATATATGAAGGCATTCTAATTCTGGATTCAACCTTATTATTCCATTCATTACCTTGCAGCCTGTGCACAATATTACTCCATCTTGAGCTTATCGCATCATGAAGGGTGAATCTCTGTTCCGAATCAGTGTCCGAAAAAGCGACCCCGTATAGTGAGAACGTCATCCTGCAATTTTGGCAGATGACCGTCATTATCTATCAAAAATATTGGCCCTTCAGCCATACTTTAGCTTCACCATCTGGTTCTCCTTCCCCCCTCAGATGTAGTCCCGACTTGTTCAAAGTTCGGCTACCACCAACAGCTGTCATTTTAGCCCTCCGCCCCGCGCGGGGGTCGGCCGGTGCAACTTGATTCTGTCCCTGTCGCCTGTGATGATTCCGGATCGCGCAGATCTCGGCAATCATCTAAGTGGCTGAGCAGAGATTATACACTCGGCTGAGGGAACATTACTGAATGCCTTATCACTCACATGTGAACAGCTTCAAAAACGGGAGGATTACCGACCATGCCTGCTCGAGACACGCGAACGGCTTCGATTTTGGCTCGAACTCGAACTAGTAGAACCAAGAACCCGAATTCGAGAAGTCGAGGACCATGGGAACTAGCGAACGAGAGGGTGACCGACCATGCCTGCTCGAGGCACGCGAACGGCTCCTGTCTCGACGATTTCGTTTTCGCAATTTCTCTCCCAGTTTATATGTTCGTTTGAACAAGTCCTTGTTTGATACATCCTCTTCGGATTCATTATTAGATGATCAATGTCTTCTTTTCTCCATCTCCGATGCTAAAAGAGAGAGCTACTGTGGAAAAGAGAATTAATTTATACTTACTTTTCCAGCGACGTTTAAGTGACATGTGCGCGCAACGAGCACAACAAGACGAATGAGAAATGGAAGTAACGGTATCCTAGGGATAGAGAACAGGAGAAAGGGAGAGCAAGAATCTTTAAATATTGTGCGTAACAGTATCGACAGGGCGTACTACAGAATGTGATATCGAAGGCTGGACGTGAAATATAATCAAGTAAAATGTACACTCACCGGCAAAGAAAACCGGCCACCAAATAATTTGGCCAAATTGTTTGCTCTGTAACTTTTTCAATTCTACTCCGATTTCGGTGAAATTCCGACCAAATCGTAGATTCATGTTTCCAAATGTTAGCCCAAATATTAGTTGCTAAGAAAATCTGATGACTTGATCATTATACAGGGAAAAACAAAAGTTACTTTTGCACCCTTAACTTCTTAACGCCCTGTGGGAAAGGTGAGTGGTTTAACTCAGCTTCATTATGTTTAAGATTGAAAAGTGATCTCTTCTCCATATTATGGTTTTTTATTCACGTCGATAACCATTTTTTAAAGGAAGATACAAGTGTTTCAAGAGAGTATGGATTCTTTATTTACAATAATTCAGAACCATTCTCCATCCTTCTACTTCAATGCTTCATCATGTTTTAAATTGAAGTGTGATCATCGTTTGTTCCTTCTTCATAAAACGGTTCTTGAATAACGTCAATATCTCCTTTTTGAGAGAAGATACAAGTGTTTCAAGAAAGTATACCTAGATTTTTTTAATTTTCAATAACAATAATTCAGAACCTATCTACCTATCTCAGGGGTGACCTCTAGAGGCTCATTCGCCTTCGCCCAGCCTTGTCAGATACTCTTCAAGAGCTACGATTTGCCCTTCAAGGAGGATTTTAGGCAATTTTTCAAGCCCACTTGAGTAATTCGATCAATTCGATGCCACTTCGGTTGAATGCTGTAATTCAATATCGAAGAGAGCATACTCGTTATTGACTACAGGTCTGCTTCTTGTTTTTTTTTTTGTAATTGATTATCCGGTAAGTGCTAAGAGAGTAAGGTAAAAATATGTGATATTAATCCTTGAACTTCTAAATTAATAAAGTTCATGTAAGTTCTGATTTTTGGTAAAAAAAGTTGAAAAACACCTTACTTCCTTAAAACACTCGTATCTTCTTTCAAGAATAAGATATTGACTTGAATCAAAAACTTTTGTTTTAAGAAGGGATTACACTTCAATCCGAAGCATAATGAAGCCATGTTCAATCACGCCATTTTGCCACCAGGCGTTGATAAGTATAGGGTGGAAGAGTAACTTTGGTTTTTCCCTGTATAATGATCAAGTCATCAGTTTTTCAGGAAAATTAATATCCAGGCTAACATTCCGGAACATTAATCTACGATTTGATCGATACTTCACGAAAATCGGACAAGGATTAAAAAAGTTACAGGCTGAACAATTTGGGCAAATTTTTTGGTGGCCGGTTTATTTTGCCGGTGAGTGTATGTAACACCTCCTCGATCAACCAACAGGCGGTATTTCGAGCTGTCATTGCTTGAGATTTGACATTTAATGGAAGATGAATTAAGTCATTATGATATCCGAAACGCAAATGAAATTGATCACATACAAAGTACCTCATTGATCACATACAAAGTACCCCATTGACGAACGGAACATTTTGGTATATAAACGAATTGGGTCCAATCTACTTATTTTGACCTCTACTTCAAGTAGAGCAATTTTGGGACACCCTGTATATAATCTATAACTAGAGTCATGTGAGGGATTTAAGCACAATTGACAATAAGAAATCACTAGATTCGAAAACTCTTGGGGAGTAGGTTTCCCGAAACGAAATAGCGATATACAAATGCTACAAGTTCTTTATTTATATTATCTCTTATTTAATTGAAAGGTATACACTCTGATCCGAATCTCAGACCATTGGACTATAGAAAAGTTTGAAAGTTTGATGTTTTTCTCCAATATTTATATGTTCAGAAATGGACATACAATGATTCCATTTCTGCCTTATAGAATCTCCAAGAACAGATTCACCTATTATACATAGAAAACATCGTTATATTCACATATCTGATGTTTTTTCATATGATTTTTCAACAAAAAGAATGATATATACTTCTTTATCTAGATACAATCAAATTATCATGTCAATATCTTCCTGATTCGGATCAAACAGATTATCAAACACAAATACTACAATGTACGAACCTTTCTCAGCCCTCTAGAATTCTTCATAAAACAGTTTGAATCAGATTTGAGTAGGTATAGCAAGGAATTTCTATCGATTCAACTTGGCAACAATGCGCTACCGCTTGTTCCGAGTCTCCACGCGTCTCACACATTCTGGTATATTGACGGTCTGTCGATGTACGGTTCTGATGTTTTACGGGTCTGTCAATGTACGGTTCTGCCATTTTACGGTTCTGCTATTTCACGGGTCTTAATCCAAAAAATTCTGAAAATTTACGGGTTTGGTAGCTGCACGATTCTGCCATTGTACGAGTCTGTCATTTTACGATTCTGCTGTTTTACGGGTCTGTCGTTTTACGGTTTTGATGAATTATGGATCGGAAATTCTGGTAGTCCGATGGATTATGAGTCTGTCGATGTACGGTTCTTGCATTTTACGGATCTAGAGTATTGGCAGTCTGTGCTTTTACGAGTCTGTCATTGTACGGATCTTTCATTTTACGGGTATCAAAAATCGACAGTCTGTCTTTTTACGGGTATGAACTCTTCGCATTCTGCCATTTTCAGATTCTGTACATCACAATTTTGCCAGTTTGCTGGTCGGGAATGTTCATTCTGATGGAATGGTGGTCTACAGAGTACGGGTCGCTGAATTACAGTCTGTGCTTTTACGGTTCTATGACTTTACGATTATATATTTTTATGATTCTGGCGACATGAAGAGTATTTTATTCACTGGTTTGGCTAAGTACACTTCTGAATATATGGCAGTCTTTCGATATACTATTGTGATGTATGCATTCTGACATAATGCAGTCTGTCAAAGTACGGTTCGACAAATTACGGGTTGTACATATTGCAGTCGCTGAAATATGGTTCTGATGATTTGCTATTCTGATTTCTTACTATTCTAGTCAAATAAATTCCTACTAATCGGCGGTCTGTGTCGATACGTTCTGATGATGTATATGGACCCCCCAGGGACTAAGCAAACAACGTTATATGAGTTCGATTCGGAATACTGTTTTTCACCATGGCTTCCTTTTCAGCTTCGATGTGCGAGGACGGCAGTCCACCCAAGCGAAGCTGTGGTCTTCGCCGGACGCGTTCGGGCCGCGGGCTTTCTTTCGCGCCTCGACCAATCCGGCGGCGCTGCTCATCGACAATATCCACCTGTCCGACGAGGGCGTCTACCGGTGCCGGGTGGACTTCAAGAACTCGCCGACGAGGAACAGCAAGGTCAACTTCACCATCATCGGTAAGGACAAACATCATGCACACCTAGATAGATAAATACTGTGAGAAAGTTGCCCCTTCACGCGTGCAGATTTTTCAAGAAAACGGGCAGCGATTTCAGTAAATATACTGTTCGCTAGCACAAATCACTTTCACCTCGGCTTCCACCATAGAAATAGATATCTTCAGACATCACCGGTATACTCGGCGTCAGCACATCGTACTAAATATAGTGAGCTCGGAACAGTAGGTGTGTTCATTGGTGAACTTGGTAATTCTTAGAGCAGGCCGATCAAATCAGATCAATGACATAATCACATAACTGATTGCTTATTTAGGCAGATAAAGTTAGCAGAGGGTATTGGCTACAAAGACATATTTTTTTTGTCATTACTCACCTGAAAAAACAATGATGTAGTTCATAGATGAAGAAACCGAAAGTCATTTCCACAACTGAATATCTTATCTTTGAAATAATAAGAATCTGTGATCTATCATGTCGTATATGTTTCGAGCTTATACATATAAACTCATCATTCGCCATTCACAAGATATTATAGTCATGGAGATGATATAAGCAAGAGTTCCATTTTGATTATGTAGGCAATAAAATGGGGCACCATGATTGTCTATAATTGATAGGTGTTTTTTATAGAGAGATGAGAAATTTATGATAATAATTTTCGGTAATTATAATAATATGTTGTTGATGTTGTTTCTGGTTATCGTGATTTTTTGCTCTACCATTTTTGGTCGAGTAGACTCAGCTTGATTTTTTTACTCTAGAGCAATTTGCTCAACACGAACGAACACATTCATTCAATTCAGAATAGTTAGGTGGCTCCAGCCTCTAGTAGAGCCATCGTAATATGCTATTGCTATCATTAGGTATATTATTTTCATCTTAATTTCAATAAATTTTGTTGAATCTGAGGAATCATCATCCTGTTTATGTTGATCTAGTGTGCCATTCATTTTGATTGATATTGTTACAGTTGTCTGTCGATAATGAGAAACATATTGTCATTTACATTTGTATCTCATTATAAACTAGAATTTCCCGCCATTTCCATTGAAATCATAGTTCTTACCAAATAGCTCAACAGGTTATGGGCCCAGACTACGCATAAAGTAGTGCAGAAACAAGAGAGGAGATAACGATATGGAGTTCAAAGCACATATCGATAAACTAGAAGGAGCATCAAATTGGACATGATGAAGGAGACAGATTGAGCTTCTGCTGAGACACCATAAAGTTCTCGAAGAGACAACTGGAGAGATTCAATCTCCAGGTGATCCAGGTGATATTGCTTCACCAGAAGCTATCATTCAGTTTAATGCAGATTTGAGACGTTTTCAGAAATTAGATGCATCATCTCAGATGATATTAGTTGATAGGATGAATAACGCAAATGTCGAACTAACAGCGACACCTCGAAATCCACATGGGAGAAACTTTTGTCTGTATATGAACAGAGCTCTGGGCAACGGGTCGATAGACTGATGGAACAGTTTTTCAGTTCACATAAGGATCCTTCCGAAAACATAGCTACCCACCTAGCTAGACTCCAAAGATATTTTCATCAACTGAACGATGAAATGAAAGAGCTAGTGCATGCAGAATGAGTCGAATTATGTCTTCTCTTCCGTGTGAGCTCTTCGAATTCAGAAGTGTTTGGGAACACGTTCCTGTGACTGAGACAACGATCAACAAGTTTACCGAACGTTTACGCCTGATTGGGATGAGATTGCCTGTAAAGCCCAATGACAACACGACTGCTTTGCTACTACTAACATGAAACGATTAGGAGGATCATCAAAACCAGTGAGAAAATGTTTCAAATGTCATAAAGTCGGAAATTTTTTCAAGAACTGTTCAAATGGGAAACGTTTGGATGAATCAAACAAGGCAGGTGCAGAAGGAGCTGCATTTTCTAGTGTGACCAAGAGCACGAAGGACAATGTTGAAAGCAACGAGCAATGGTTAGCTGATTCAGGTGCAAACGTCTATTAATCATCTTGAAAACATGTGGTATGTACCTGATATCAAGAGAAAAATCTTTTTTCATGACAAAAGTATATCCGGGATAATGGCTGCAAAAAATCGCTGTGCCGTGGATTCGGCTTAGATTGAGGGGTGGCACAGCTATAGGTTTTTGAAATATTCCATTCAATTGGTATCGAATGGCATTATTTCTATCTCGTTATCAAATCGCAAAATCGAGTGCAAATCACAGCACAGGAAAGTGCAATTTTTCAATCATTTTGCTGAGGATGATAGTGAACAGGACCAATGATATCTGTATGCATAATTTTCTCGTATTTATTTTATTATTCATAACATTTTTTTTGTTTCTCGATTATCTAATGTTTTTTACTTTCAATTTTGAAATTTTTCCAGAGGTTTTTTGATTTTTTCTCTGATGTCGTTCCACAATAAAAAAAGCTGATCACTTATAGCGTCGTACTATACACTCGCCAATATACATAGCGCACTGGCACAGAGCAAGCATAAGTGTCACTGGCTCGGTTTTTCTAAATAGTGCTATTATATTTCCTTTGTCGTCAGAAATGTTTTTTGTCAATCGAAAATTTGAATTATTGATAGCACATTAATAGTACATTTGGTTTCGCTGGTCCACATGAAATGGATTCATCCACCCTGTGTTGTTTCCCTGTGATCACTGCCAGCAATAGCTTATGAATAAGGATGTTCTCTCGATTAGCAATGTTATTCAATTGGTTGTCGACAATAGTGAATCAGATTTGCATTGTCGTTCACGAAGTTACTAGTTTTCATCAATACTAACTAAACAATTGAATGTTTCCAATGCTATTTCGTAACAAAGTACTTCTGCATCCCAACTATCATTTCAAAAATCATAGCAAATAATTCAAATATTTTTCCACTCGAATATTGGAGGTTATGTGGTTCGCACCGTCGCACAAGCACAGTTCTGAAAACTCGAACTTTGAGCGAGCATCGAGCAAGTTTGAAAGCCATCAGTGGAAATCTTGTCTCGACCTGAGTTTCCTCTTGAAATTCTCAGTAGACCACGCAAAAACGCGCTCTGTGCCGGAAAAGTTCGAGCTAGTGCGACGAGTGGAAAACGCTATTATACTCATACTGGTACGCACTGAAGATGAATGTATAGTCGAAAGCGCTCTGCTATGAAAAATTTGAATAAATCATTTCGCACAATTATTTTTATATCTACGAGTGCACACAGCTAAGTTATCCCTCACTTTGTATGTCTCGGTCAAATTGACAGGAAATCAGCAATAGCTGCTACAAATATTCCATCTCTCTTCGTGGACTGCAATATACTTCATGTTTGGTTCGGGGACGTATCTTGTAGGAGGTGATAGGTTTTATGATTTAGAAAACATACAACCATGAACAATTATATAAGGTGTTATCATGTTTCGAGAAATCATCGTTTTTCCGAATTTGACTGAATTTCGTGAATACCAGATAGGTAGTAACTAAATTAATACCTCGATTAATACCAAAGATGTAATTCACTCAAATGGTAGATCTGGTATCCACAAATTTTCTTAGGCACATCCTGATAATTGTTCGGCACAAAATATTGGTCAGAATGGAAAGAGAATTCAAACTAGTGTCAGAAAACATGTTTTGATTGATTCTCACCAAAATTCCGAATGAAAAATTCGAATGAATTATTTACATTTTGTGCAATTATTCGTATATCTACGAGTGCACACAGCTAAGTTACCATCACTTTGTATGTATCGGTCAAATTGACAAGAATTCAGCGATTGCTCTTTGATAGACTGCAATATACAGCATGTTCGTTTCAGGGACGTTTATCCAAAGTGAGGTGATAGGTAATAGTATATTATGTAACAAGAGTGTTATAAACGTCCTTTCAGTAACGAGTGTTTAATAAACGAGTGCCTAGAAGAGTTTATAAACGCGTTACATATACTATGCTATTTCAACGAACTCCGAAAATTACATTAACATACCTGCAATTCCTGCTAACCTACAAAATAATTCGAAAGGAATGGGAATTGAGAACATAATACATGCAACTGCATGCATCAACCAGCGAGACACGTATAAGTGATATTGGTTGTAGGCCACCTAACCTTTGTTTCACGTTTATTGTCATGCTCAGCGCAGAATGAATACATTTTTCTCAAAGATGTATGCTTCATTTTTACACTCCTTGAAGATGTGCAAGTACCAGAACATTCTCTTCGATTCCACTTTCGTCTACTTTTCGCATATATTTTCAATGATGAATTCTGATACAAATAACGAATATTGTTTGAATAATTCTGATACAAAATTCGAAAATAACAGTTGACAGTTGATACAATTGACAGGCCAGACATGTCTCAAATTACTGAAGCTGTGTTTAATGAACTGCGTTGTCATGGTGATGTGTTTAAGAAATCGTGTTGCCATGGTAACGTGTTTAATAGTTTGAATAAATCACAGATCGACAATCCGTGATTAATGGATCATTTAGCGTGGTACATATCCGTACGCTAAATGCCATTTTAGTTATGTGAGTAGAAAAAATGATTTTGAGAACATACAACCGTAAACTATTATATATGGTGTTACATGTCTCGAGAAATCAACGTTTGCCGGAATTTGACCGAATTTCGTGAATACCAGAGGTAGTAACTGAGGTAATACCAAAGATGGAATTTGCCTAAATAATAGATACGGTGTCTACAAATTTTCTTGCGCACATCCTGATGATTGTTCGACAAAAAATATTGGTCAGAATGAAAAGAGAACTGAAACTCGTGTCAGTGAACATGTATTGATCGACATTCACCGAAATTCCTCTAGAGATTCATGCAATACAGAGAGTTCATTTGCTAATTACATTTTGAATTGTAATTATCACTTTGATGGAAATGATGACCTCAAAGTCTTACGGAGTTGCCAGAAAAGGCACTCTTCTCAATTAATTGAAGATATTATCTGGGATGAATGAGTCAAATAAAGATGACAATATTATATCTTTGAACGCTAAC